CACGATTTACAGTACACCTACGATCACTTTTTTGTCATAAGATTCACTTTGTGTTGTTTTCCCATAAACAACTTGATGTTTTTGTCAATACTTGAGACGCTTTGTCGTTTTTGTAATAAAAGACAACAATTTTTACTAGGATTAAACGTTATTGTAGACGGAGGGTTGATTTCATTAATGAAGTATAGTTGAGGGGTTTTTTTACTAAAAAAAAGTTACGGAAATTTTTCAAGATCCAAGAATAGTTGAGAGATTTTTTTATTAAAAACCATAAAAGAAGCATAACATGAAAAAAAGGTTGATGTGAGAAAATTAAAAAATAATTTTATGATTTTTAGGTCTGTTAAATCTAGCAAGTCTGATTAGAGAAATACAGGATTTAAACTTTTTTAAAATGCTTTCATATCTTTTAAAGTCAATTTACAAATTTAACAATTACCCTCTAATGCAATTGAAACAATTTGTGTTGGATAAAGTAACGTTTCTAACCAAAACTCTCGAAATAAAACTTTACTCCACCACAAATTGTAAATCCAGAAAAACAAAATCATTTCACCAATGAACTGATGTGAAAGATAAAAATTACAGCAAAGTGATAAATACATTGAGATAAAAATACAATCAAACATCAATTAACTCTCCTTATGATTCAAGGTTCTAATGAAATAAATAAAAAGATGGGTTCCAAAATCTATGTTGAGATGATGTAGATGTCTCGGTAGAAGTAAAGCGTACAACAACTTGTCTGATCAATAGATTTTTATAGACGTATTTGATGTAGAAAGACGACCAATCATTTTTTTTAGGAAACCGTAGTGAATATTGATTCAAACACTACAAGTTGAAGATTTGTACCAAAGAAGATATCTTTCATATGCTGTAATTTTTATTAATGAACGGTCTATTTCTTTTCATATATAACATTGTATATGTCCAACAACTGTGGAGGTCGAAACCAACTCAATTAGATTTGTCAAGGTTTTTGAAAGAAAACAAGATCTCTAGAAAAGAATCGCAAGAACTATCAAGAACAAAGACAAAAACACGAAAATTGCGTTAAGAAAGCTTTATTGATTCTTTGCTAAGTGTTTCTGCATAAAGCTGCGGATCCCTTTCTCAAGGAGAATACAAGAGTATATATACAAGTTCTAAGTCGGCTAGGTCTCACAAATAAGAGACAAGAAAGTTTTCTTATTCGTCGGGATATCCTTTTGTCGTAGTTGGCGCTAGTCACAAGCTTTGTCATTGTGGGCTGGACCTCGTCGCCTCGCCATCTTGGACTTGTGTTCTCGACCCAATTTCGTATAGTTGGCCAAATAAGCTAATTTGGGCCGACCTCGTCGAGCTTTCCTGGGCGGCGTTGTCGGCGTTAAGGCCAGTAATCGGCGGAGATGGTGGTCGGCAATGACAGTGGTCGGCGGAAGCAGCAACAGTTCGCAGGAGGTCGCAGTAGTCGG